AGAAGGTGGGTGGAATGGAAGTATGTAAGCAATTGGCCTACACCATTAGTAAGATTGGAGAGTCATATTTAATGATTTTTTTTTTTTCTTCTTTTTTTTTTCTTCCAGTCAGTCTGTCTTGAAAGGAGGGGGTAAACTCTGTGCACACAATATGATGAAGCCGGATAAATATAATAAATTAAAAATGACTTGAGGACACTATAAAACATTTAACAAATGACAAGGACAACAATTGATGGAGGGCGATATAACAAGTTGGCAACTGGAAATGGCAGGGCAATGTAAAATATTAAAATTAACTTCAATTAACTTGAATTAAGTTAACAAATGAAATTAACAATTTAACAATGAATAAGGGGAACAATTGATCGAGGGCAAAAAAAAAAAAGAAAAAAGAAAAGAAAAGATAAGGGAACAAGTCAATTGATGGAGATCGTTTATCCGGTCTGCCATGGCAGGCAATTGATCTGAATGGCAGAATAAGAAAATATCAAAGGGTGAAGGTTCGGCAGACCGCCGACTGGTCGGCTGCAAAACGGTTGGCGGTCGGCATGTATGCAACCCTGCCTGATCTTCTTTTTTGGGGGAATTTTTTTTTTTTTTTTCTTGGGGGGGGGGAGTGGGGTGTGCACTTCAGATTATCTGGATTTCGCATTTATTGCACAATCTCTTTTTTGGGGGGAATAATTCGGATCATCTGGATCTTCTCTCTTCCCGCCCCAGGATAATTTCAGATGGGGTCCATTCTACCATCTCATTATATTTTCTGATCCTTTTTTTTTTTTTTTTTTTCCCCTTTCTTCCCTTTAATTCTCTATAAGTCTATAAGAAGGGTGACAGCCTTGAGATATCATCATTTCAGATTCTCAGAATGATTTTATTCTGGTCATCTGATTTTATCTGGATTCGGACTTGGGTCTGATTCATATTTCAACAGTTCGTGGGTGTACCAACTGACATAGGCCCGTTGGTTATACTTCTGAATCCTGATCCTTTTTTTTTCTTTTTCTTTTTCTTTTTTTTTGTGGTCGACCAGGTTTACGCTGTTGCCAAGCATCAAAGAGTCCTTGTAATCTGTGGTCCAGGAAACAACGGTGGTGATGGGCTTGTTGCAGCTCGGCATCTACGGCATTTTGGGTACTCACCTGTTATTTGCTATCCAAAGCGCACAGACAAACCATTGTACAAAGGCCTTGTCACACAGGTACGTGGCTTCAATTGACAACCATGCCTCCACTGGTGGGTCTTTCTTTCCCTCTCCCTTTCTTTCTCCCTCTCTCCCTGTCTCCCTGTCTCCCTGTCTCCCTCTCTCCCTCTCTCCCTCTCCCCCCCCCTCTCTCTCTCTCTCTCTCTCTCTCTCTCTCTCTCTCTTTCTTCCATTTTCTCTTTCTCCCGCTCTTTGTCTCTCCCTCCTTCTCTCTTTCTGTCTCTGCTTTGAGCGACAACCATGCCTATGTATGCTGGTGGCTGTTCACTCCAGGGTATCTCATCCCCTCTCCCTTCCTCTCTTGCTCTCTCTCTTCCACCCGCCCCTCTCTATCTCTCTTATCTAATCTAATCTAATCTAATCTAATCTAATCTTATCTAATCTAATCTAATCTAATCTAATCTAATCCAATCCAGTCGAATCTAATCAAATCGTATCTAATCTAAGTCCATAGTGACATATTGAACGGCTAAAGATCTGGTGGGATTGAAAGCAGAATATTAAGGACACAAAGAAGTGGTATAAAAGGGGCCTATCTCCAGAAATATCTATCTAGTCTAGTCTAGTCTAGTCTAGTCTAATCTAATCTAATCTAATCTGCTCAGGTATGTGGCTTTGACCGACAACCATGCCCTTTGGAATACAATTCTGAGCAGAGAGGGGTGTCTAACAGAGGTGTTATAGGCAGGGCTCATAGCAAGAAGGGGGGGGGGGGGGGGGGGGGGCTACAGGGGGGTATGGACGACGTGACCGGAAGAATGTATGTGATGATTGTACAGGGGGAATAGCTACTACAGGGTAGTAGCGATTTGGGCTCATGATAGGTGGTTGTTGGTCTTTGCCTAGTGGAGATGTCGCTATTCTTGGGGTACTAGAGGGGGAATGCTCGATCCTTGGGGAAAGCCAAGAAAATTAGGGGTAGATTTTAACAATACTACCCTCGTAATCTCACTTTGAAGCGGACAGATAACTGTACCGGTATCTCGGACTTTTTGGCGTGCTGATTGAGGGTGAAGGATTCTTTCCCCTTTCTGGGAAGCCTGCAGAGGGTGAAAAAATGAGGCTACCATTTGGTCAAATAGACCCCACTGGTGGATAGGATGGGGCAGGATTTCAAGTCCCGGATCTGTCGCAACCAGAAAGCGGCTGCAGGTCCTTTGGGACATCCGTTAAAATTGGAACGATACAAAGAAGATTAGCATGGCCCCTGCGCAAGTATGACACGCATAAATCGAGAAATGGTTCCCCCCTCCCAAAAAAGAAAATAGTGGCTGCAGTTGCTGGCATCCTCCACAGACTTGACCGCAACTCGACTTGATTGATGCTGAGGTGTGAGCGGTGGGGCAAAAGGTTTCCCGGACTGCTTCTTCATGAAGGTTTTGGAAGACTTCGTGACGAAGGGAGACAATGGGCATGACCAGATGCACCCGCCACATATTTGTCTTTTTCACATTTCGAGAGTGGTGTGGCGAGGCCCAATGTCTGGAAGTTGACAAATGAAATTGTTGCGTTTGCTGTGACAGTCACTGGTTTTGTCTTTTTTTTTTTGTCTCGGTAATGTGGGAATGGCATTGTTTTTTTTTTGTCTCGGTGACAAAGGGAGACAATGGGCATGACCAGATGCACCCGTCATGTGTTTTTAATACTTTTTATAGTCGGTACTACGTGATAGGATAGTGTGGGCACTGTGGTGTCATCCTCTTTCGACAACAGGTTGATGGAAGCGCACCTGGATTGTGTCTTTTGACGATCGGAGGTTACGGCCTTTCTTTTAAGGTGTTGTGGACAGTCGGTGGTGTATCGTGCCGAAGGAAGGCGAAGATGCTTTTGGGACTTTGCACTGAGAGAGATTCGGTTAAATAATTGCGAACTGTCGAAAAGTGAAACATTGGTGTGATGGCAATTATAGCTAGATCAGGAATCCTCCTGATGATGCCGCTCGCGAGGTGGCTGAACCGCATAGAGGATCGGCCACCAGACTGTGGAAAGTGGTGGGAAGCTCTTTGGAGTGATCAGAGCTTGCTTGATGACGTTTTTTTTTTTGTTGTACTTCATTGACATTTGCTTGGAAGCTCGTTTTCTTCTGTGCGACGTGCGCGATAATTTGGCACTTTATTGCTGTGTAAAATTTCTCTGTGATTATCCTCATGCCTTGGCTGCTAATGAGCCGTTCTGTCTGTCTATCGTGTTGCACGCGGTGATCACGACTGCGATTCATGCGTACATCGTGGATTCAAACTTGGGTCTGATTCATATTTCAACGCGGTGATTACGACTGCGATTCATGCGTACATCCTGGATTCGAACTTGGGTCTGATTCATATTTCAGCGCGGTGATTACGACTGCGTTTCATGCGTACATCGTGGAAGTGTTGATCGTCAATGTGAGTTCTCAGTTGTATAATCTCATGAGAGGTAGACTCGTAAGTATTTATTATTTAATATTTATCGGTAATGAATGATCTAGTAATGTAGAGTGTTATACATCTAATTAAGTATATATGTTTACCAATAAGTTATAAGTTATAACCCTCATCTTATTAACCCTGATGATGGGCCTGATCTCATTGGTGTGTGCATTGTCTTGTCTATGCCTGTTTGATCTAAATTTGTAATTTGACTGGACAGCTGGAGAGTCTGCATATTCCCTTTGTAACCGTGGGTGAACTGACCGCGCCACTCTCAAGTGACTATGATATCATCTTGGATGCAATTTTTGGGTTCTCCTTCAAAGGTATGCGCCGTTTCTGTTTCACTCTTTCTGGCATCTTCATCACTGATGGTTTGCTTTTGATCTGTTTCACTCATTCCGGCATCTTCTTCACCCGACTTGCTCTCTCTCTCTCTCTCTCTCTCTCTCTCTCTCTCTCTCTCTCTCTCTCTCTCTCTCTCT